TGGCACAGCGCTTCGCGACCGGAGTGTTTAGTAAAAGCTGTCAGGGTGAGGGAGAAATTGATCTTGGATTATTTTGCCAGCAGAAAATAACTTTAAAATGACCCCAATCAGAAATCAGAAATGATGATAGGGAAAGAAATATATCATATATGATTAATACCAAGATTGATGCACTGAAAACCGGATCTCAGTCTGACTCGAAGACAAATGCAATGAAATTCATTTCAATCTGTCGGTTAAATTATTTTATATATTTTTCTAGTTTGGTTGATATCCAAGGAATTAACATTACTGCTGAAATTTGTGAACAGAGCAACATCAGCAACATCATATTTATCGTACTATTTCATAAAAATATGTAGGATGATCTGTTCTTTAAAGACATCTGTCTCAGTAGCTCACCCCTTTCCAATATTTGTTGCGGGTAGCCACACTTAATACCCACCGTAATCATGTTTAGGTTGCATGGAAAGCGTGTAATCATGATACTGTACACCCATTCATCTACATTAGTAGCAGATGATTACATCATATTGGTAATATTGTAAATGATTAATAATGATAGTATATTTAACAAAAATTTAGCTAAATTAAACACCCCCTGTTACTTCAGGATAAGAAAAAAAAAGATATTATAACTTATGAACTGACAATACATCGAACATAGTCACGAAACTATATTGATATTTCAGTGTAAATATGATAATATTAAACTTTTATCCATTTGTCGTTTTATTTTAAAATTACGTTTCCTTGTTGATAAAGCTAATTTACCATTATGTTTTCATATGTGATCCTTGTATGAATAAATATCATGATACTAAACAATAATTCTGTACATTCAACTTTATAGGAAATAAATGTTAAAAACTTACCAGCGGTGGTATTTTGATCAGATGGAAAGGCAGCGGTTGGTTTTCCGAAAGTTAAAATTACAATAACTGTATAAATCAAACGAACTGAGACTGTTTTTCGGAAATCCATGGCCATCGCTTATTTTATCAAGTATCTTTGAGCTCAAGCTAATAGAGAGATCTTGACGAGCCCAAATTCAGTATAACGTTTAAAGGAAACCAAGTACGATGTACATGTATATATAGCTGCTATACTACAACAATCAAACTTATTTGCAATGGCGAAGTCGAAGAAGATATTCGCTCCAATTTACAGGATCCAATGTGTCAATTATATTCTTCATGTAAATACAAAATTAAATATAATTATAATGCTCAACAAAATATGGCTTCACCTTTTTCTGCTTCCCGTTTTCTGTACGTCAGTCTATATTTGATTGATCTTACTAGATGGCAATGTGGTGACAAATTGACCTCCATACAAAACTTCTGACAAATCATCACAACTGTACTTATGTTGAAACCAGGTTCACTTTTGTCTATTTTTGTCTGAGTGATGATGATAGGTTCCTGTAAAGCTTTAAACCAACTATAGCTTTTTAAATTCAACTCAGAATCATGACATTTTCCAAGAAAAAAATGTTGCTTTTCTGAAGTATCCACGCGGACAAGTATACCTTTTAGAGTCTTTAAATATTTCACGATAAATGACGACCCTTACTTTGGAACAATTATTATATCTATAAATATGAAAAAAACGATGGAAAGAAAATGTGGCAAACGAGATTTCAGTTGAGATTTTGAGAGACAATATTGTGTATGCGAAAGAGAAAGAGAGGGAGATATATATAAATATATATATAGTGATAGGGATGAAGAAATGCCCGAATTGATATCGAGAAAGATAAGGGCTGAGTGCATTGCAAAGAGGAGGCGACAGTTTCTCTTCAGTTCGCTATCGCTGAAATCCATCGCGTGATAATTACCAATGTTCATACCCATGGCCGAAAAAAACATTAAGGATTCGGGAAAACACTCGTTTTGAATAACGAAGCGAAACGAAACAAAAAATGAAAAAAGGGATGTCGTAAACTCGTAAAGAAGCTGTAAAGGGGGACGATGTAAATGGCGACGGTACTCTAGAAAGATGTGTGCTAAATAAAGGTTGTTTCAGGTGGAAGAGAAACATCGTTGAATAGAGTGATGGGGAAGAAATTGTGACAAACGAGATTTCAGTCAAGATTTTGAGAGATAAAATTGTGAGTAAGAGTGAGAGAGAGAGAGAGATCGAGAGACATAGAGAGAGAGAGAGAAAGACAGAGAGACAGAGAGAGAGAGATAGACAAATGCCCGAATGTTAGATAGCGAGAAAGATAAGGGTTGAGTGCTTTACAAATTAAGAAGCGACGACATTTCTGGAATTTGCCATTTCCATTCAGTTTGCTATCGCTGAAATCCTTCGCGTAACAATACCAATATTCATACCCATGGCCGAAAAACCATTAATGATTCGGAAAAACACTCGTTTTGAAGCAAGAAGTGGAACAAAACAAAATGAATGAAGGATATTGTAATGAAATGTGAAAAGGGGGCGACGTAAACGGCGACGGTATTCAAGAAAGCTATGCGCTAAATTGAGGTTTTTTCATGTGGAAGAAAAACATCGATGATCAATGATTGACCCAATTTCGTGAGCAAGGAAATTGATGCATGTTTTCCAATTAAATCTCCCCCATTTGCTGATATCTTTTTGCGGTCTTGAGTCTAAATTGATTTAAAAAAAGGGTTATTGTGTGATACATCATTTTACATTATTGTTAACGAGTGATATCGACCCACTAGTTTCTCATGCGCTTATAAAGTCAATCATGTGTTTATCCGCACACTTCTCAATCACACACCTACCCACCCACTCACTCATTTCACTCCATTAAGCAATAAATCAGAATTTTTTTGCAATTACTTTTTTCACATTATCTTAGTTTAGGTCTTTCAATCCCCTTGTAGATAATCATTTTGCATTGCTGGGTTTCAAAGAGCAACAAATAATTGTTCAAGTGATCAATTATATCAGACTTAATTTTATCCCGATTGAATAATTGTGTAATTTATACATGTAATTTCTCTTTGGCAGTATCCTGGCATAGTAGCAATTTGTCTAGCGGTTTGTGAAATGATCGATAAAAAGGGAAACTTGAAGATGATGTTAAACACAAAAGGAGAAGGGGGTTAAAATTAGAATATTCTAGCAAAAGGAATATTGGTAAAGTAAGTGAATTAATGTTTTTTGGAATAGAAAGGGAGAAAGAGAGCATGTGCGTTCATGTATTAAAAGAAATAGTACACAAAGAGAGGAAGAAAGTGAATCTACCATATACAAGCAGGATATAACAAAAGGGTGAAAATGGCGAGGTTAAGAAGAGCTCACGTACACAAAATACGTCTATTGAAATACAGCTTGGAGGAAAGACATGTTTTAGATGTTGATAGGTGTACACTTTAAAAGGTGCTGGGTGAAAATGTGTGAACATGAAAGTAATTATGTGTCCAAGAGATTCTTAGGAAATTATAGACCCATCTATGGTGATGTTGATTAAACATGATTAAAAGGTGATCGTGACTGGGCACACAGCATTTTTCAAAAGCAGAACGAATACAAAATTACCCTTGCTTTGTGACATTTTCACCCAACATTTTTACAGTATATTAACATGATAGTATTAGATCAATTGAAGATTTTCATTTATAAAGTATAAATATTTAATTCCCCTTACAATATGACGTCAAGATATCTCTACCGACATGCCAATAACGTTTTGACAACTTGTTCCATTTTATTATTATTATTTAGGAAACGTTTATTACGTAATGGTATATATTTACATCCATGCTTTGTTCAAACTTACAGCTTTGCTTATATGTCTTGAAACCCAGTTTATGATTTCCAACTGCGGAAGCAAATCATTCCCCCTTGACTTTCACCAAACGAGTGATTTGATATCATATATTTTTGAAAGAATCGTCGAACCCATGCCTATTGCTGTTTTTCTATAATACATAATTACATTGCTTTAAACATAGGCCTACATAGATAACAGGAAGAGATTTTCAATATTACAAATCATGCATAATATTACATAGATGCATACAGACTTTGGGGGTTATGGTCTTCAAATCAATCTCATACAAACTAGATTTTCTGATATAATACATAATTACATTGCTTTAAACATAGGCCTACATAGATAACAGGAAGAGATTTTCAATATTACAAATCATGCATAATATTACATAGATGCATACAGACTTTGGGGGTTATGGTCTTCAAATCAATCTCATACAAACTAGATTTTCTGATCGTAACGGTACGTAATGAAAACTTAAATTTGCATCCAGTTCTCACTAATCTCCGTTTATTTTTATATCGTTGATGGAAAGAGTGGGACATAATGTGATAACATATGTGTCCTCAAAACTTAAGGCATTATTAATAAGTTATTTCACTTTATCATGTTGATATCAAAATTATATGAAATTGAAAGCACTTTGACCTTAAAAGAAACATGAAATACATGGGGGAGACAAATGAAAGATTTTTGTAAATACTGGTTATGGTTTACTGCAGCTTGAGCATGATACATGTTGAAATCCCACGTTCGCTTAAGTGATGAAGACTGGTTAATACCTTTGACTGTTATGATTACAATAATGGGAATCAAGTAAATACATTGGAGATACATTATTTACTTTATTTTGTATCAGGACTTTTCTTTGTTGCTGTTGCTTAATTTTTATGTTTCCTACATTGATATCTGGTATTCAGACAAAACTCGGTGTAATTGTCGACAAAACACCCAAATAACCACAAAACCACTGCACACAATAAACACACACACACGCTAGCACACTCACATGTCTATCCTTGCCCACAACCACACATACTTAGTCCATAAGGACTAGGACATTATAATAACAGGCGGACATGAAAGGAAAATTATGTTGTCACATGATATTACTCCGTACTTTAGGTGAAACCTAGAGATGTATGAGTCTTGATGCCATTTAAAGATAACACTGTGCAACAACAACTCAAGAACAAGAAGAGACCATTGAAAAAAAACGAACCTTGCTAAATTATTTCTTTATTAGTTACACACATTGTATTGAAACATTAACGAAAGCCTTAGTCTCTTATATCGACAGCTGTACCACTGAGACTCGACATGTATACCGAGTAACAATTCATGGACTAGTAACATATAGCAGAACAATTTAGCAGATAGCTACAACAGCTAATGCATATATATGTTGGTAAAGCAGACATGAATATCAGTGATATCAATTCTTGATATTCCTTTTTTGCTGAAATTTATTATATTCAATAGAAAAATGAGTGTCCATAGCACAGTAAGAATTTTAAAGAAAATCTTATGCGATATTACAGCAAACAAATGACGTCGTTGATTATAAGGGATATGCCACCATTTCTTCTGTAGACTAATACATATGCCATTCCCGGTATTTTAATTACATGTATGAATTGCCTTGCTTATATACACGCCTAAAACATTATACCGTGTTGCCAGGATATGCAATTGGTTCTCCTTTAGTTGCTGTTTTAAATATATCCCTGTTAAATAGAGAAGTATTTCGGCCCATAATCCGACAAATTGCACTTCATTTATTTTTTTTAATTCTAATATCCTCAACTAACAAAATATTTTGTTATCATCCAGTCGTTAAAAAAGACATTATGGAAACTATACCACCATGCCTAGTTGCCACTGTATTGTGTGTTTTTTTCTGAATCTCTATTTTCTAACTCTGTTTTGCGAAGTAAATCATACCATATCAAAGTTTGAATGCATAACTAGTATATTGATGATTTTTTTTTTCTTCTTGGAAAATTACATATTTGTACAAATATTTCCAACCTCTTTCTCCTCCTCTGTAAGTAAATTTTAAGCACTTCAGATTAACCCCTCAAAATGGGCCTTACATTTTACTTCCCGTTACTGTCTTAATGGTCTTATTTTCATTATTCTTATTGTCATCGCTGCCGATTTGCGTCAAGGAGGTGTTACTTATAGTTGCACTTCTTTCTCTCGTACCACCCCCTTTAGAGTTTGGTTTTGTGGATGTGTTTTTCTTTGGTTTCTTCCTGCTTTCCATGTAGTTAACGAACGTGTATAATATGGGGTTGATGGAGGAATTGATTGGGAGGATGAATATAACACTCCAAGCATAAAGGGATGTCAGTAGGACAACGAGACCCGATTGTGTGAGGATACCCATTACAATGATAGGCATCCAACATGCGAAGTCAGTCCCTACGATCAGCGCCATTTTTCTGGCCACTTTAATTTCTCGATTACGAATTGTAGCATTTCCCACGCTCTGGGTTGATTTCTTTACCTCTATAAACATAACAACATAGCATACCAGAATAAAAATGAATAAAATCATGTTAACACCGATAAATGTTACTATAGCGTAGAGCCAGGATGGACGAACTGTTCTGTTGGTTGCGATGTATTCGGCTGTAAATTTGTTCCCTTGAGTTATTGTGCCGTCTACAAACTGAAGCAGCCCCGTCTCCGTTGATTCAGCGTGTAATGGTAACCCAATACAAACATCTGACAGTCCGTAGAACCCGGGCAGATCGGCTGGAACTACAAGTGGTATCAAACTGAGGGTGAATGTGAGTAGCCATAATACTGTCATAACTGTCGCTGTGGCTTTAATATCGAGACGGTATCTACCGAAAGGAAACTTGATACATATGAGTCGATCAACCGTCATGAGTGCCAAAGTGAAAACAGAACTTTCGCTGGATAGAAATGCGAGGAAACTGGAAAATTTGCACAGATACGATTCACGCCAGATAGGTGCACTCAAGAAATAACTATTACCGAAATGAAAATCTGCGGATGTAATGATAATCATGTATATACCCATAAGACAATCTGCAACAGCTAGATTCATTATTAATAGAGTTTGAACACTTAGCTTCGTTTCATGACGAAATCGGAGAACTAAGACAACGATATTGCCGATTAGAGAACAAAGTCCTATGATCCAACCAGCAATTCGTAGCACGACACTCGGAAAGAGCCTTCCACAGGTATCTAGAGGACTTGTGGATGTTGTCCTGGCGCAAGTTACGTTCTTTCTTTGATTTAGAAGACAGCACAGTCGGTTGTCAGAGGTAGACCTGAAACAGAAAACAATAAACCACATTCTGAAAGAATACGAACCTGTTTGTAGTTCTTCGAATAATGATACAAAAGTATCATTATTCATTTAAAAAAACGATTAACTTGGCCAGATTAAAAGGAAATATTTCCGAAACTTTTTAGAAATGAATTGAAAGAAGAAAATTAATTGTATTTAGTTAAATCGAGAGGCAATCAATTTATTTAACACATCATTTTAAAACAAAATGTTATAATGGTGCGTCAGTGCCTTTAACACCCCCCCCCCCCACCTCTCCCTCCTGATGCGCACTACGTTTTCTTACATTCCTATGCTACCGTTTCTTCTGCCTTAGGCCCATCAAATCTTTAGCACACTCTAAACGGCATATAAAATTAAGCTTATTATCTACTTACATGGCTTTCAACGAAGTAAGGCCAGTAAGTACGTCCTTGTGGATAGACTGTAGATCGATGTCCAGTAGTAAACTTCAGTTGTTGTATAAATGACATAAACTTACGTAGTTAATACATACAAATCTCAATTTTTTTTCCAGTTGTTTAACCCTAACAAGGCCGGGCTTTTTGAGGTCTTAATACGGCCGGGGGGGCATTATAGCCCCCGGCCGTATTAAGATATCGGCCGTGAAACGGCCGATTGCCGCGAAAATGTGCACGCATGTCAAGTGAAGTTGTAAAATATTATGGTAAATTTGTTTTTTTGAAAAATTCACTCATTTGCATATGGTAATTTATGCAAATTATAAAATTTATTATGTATTTCATTGTTTTTTTAACTTATGTATTTTATTGTTGTTGTTTTATTTCATTTGTAACTACAATTCAACTATGTTGACTCCCAATACAAACACCTAAACTTTAAACAAGACCCACTAACCAATGTTTTATCTCTTTTTAGGAAAATTGACATTTCCATGTGTTTTATACACAAATCACGAAAATGAGCGATTTTTGGGCTGACATGCAAAGACAAAAGGTCACGTGACTTTGTAACTGTACGTCCGATTTTCCAAACAAAAATGTTTCAAAAGATGCGCAAGACTCGAAAGAAAAAGGCCAGCGAGTGGCGGGGCGTCATCCCTATGCGTTCCCGAACAATCATAAAAATCGTGAAGGGGGGGGCACAATGGCCCCCGGCCTTATTAGGGTTAAACAAAATTCTACCTTCATGTAAATTAGCATTGAATCTCTTTTAATTCTGAAAAAAAATCATCAACACGACCTAGAATATAAAAACATGAGCATAATTTAATGTATTTAAAGCGGTTCTTGGACAATTACCCACTGGGCAATCACCCCCGGCCAATTACCAGCGGGACAATTACCCCCGAAGGACAATTATCCCCATAACAATTACCCCTGTGGACAATAACCATCCAAAGGACAATTATTCCCCCTGAAAAGTAACCCCCTGGACAATCATCCCCCCCTTCCCGAGGACAATCACCCCTGAAAAAAAAATCTGCGTTAATTTAAACCAACTTATTATCAGGGTGGATACCTTTTAATGAAACAGGAGAGGGGGTAATTTGTCCTAGGAGATGAGTTTTAAGGGTGGGGTGGTAATTTTCCACGAGGAAGGGGGTAATTGTCACAAGACATAGATACCACACAAAATCGTGGAACACAAAAATGTATATCAAAATAATATTTGTCTAATTTTTTCTGACCGTGTGTGATAAAAATATGCCTACATCAGAAACCTTAGAAGGATGCACAGTGCTACTTACATGTATTCCAGACTAATCGCATAATCGAATACATTAGGATCAATGTGAGTTATTGGATTGTTGCTCAATACGCTGTGGGTGATATGAAACAAAACAAAATCGTTTAGTCTTGATACAATTTACAATACCGCGAATCCGATAGAGTAGAGACACAAAGCAATTACAATGTTTTTGCAATTCAGTTAATATTCAGAAATGTAACTACATGGATATTGATCAATTTCTATAACTCATTAGATTGATAATATAGTTCTGAGAAGATGTGAACTTTACCTATCAAAATGAAATCATAATGGTACAATCGAATCGTGAAAATATTTAGGATAAAAAATTTCACCCTTTAAGGGCAACAGTGTATTTCAGCGAGGTCTAATTGGCGTGTTATTGTGACTTCTGCATCAGTATTTGGTCAAGTCTTGTAAAGAGTTACCATGTGTTGGACAAGTTAACTGAAGTGCCATTTTAAGCTTATGGCCATGTGATATTTCCAAAGCACCAAATTAGTATCAATACAGAATGATTCAATTACCACAGAACTATATCAGCTTCTCTCCATTCCTATGATTGTTAATTATTTATTTATGAAAGTAGATACAGAATAATACATAGACAAAAAAAAAGCGAAATTTCAATTATAGACAACCAACAGTATTATCAGGCTAATAGGGTACTTTGATATTTATGCATCAAGTTATAAAAGCATATAAATATTAATTAAAAAAGACGACAAAGCAAAATATAAAATACAGGTAACTTACAGAAGTATGAGGCTAGTCTGGTCCTTGAAGTCTTCGTTTCCAATGTGTTTGATATTATTATAAGACAAGTTTCTGCCAGGAGGAGTAAACATTATTTTTTTCTGCAGTAATGATTATGATGTCCTTGGAGAGTACTATTGTTAGAAGGTCATTTCCGTGCGTTACGGAATGACATTTCCATAGAATTTTCAATTTGGAAAAAGGGATATCATAGACGTGTTTAATAAAAATCTACAAATTATCGATATGATCTGGAATTGTCATTCCGTAACGCTTAGACATGACCAGAACAGTATACCCCATGTAATATCTACAGTAAAAGAACAAAACCAGGCAACGCGTATACGGACAATCACACCCTGCACAATATTTTAATTTGATCAAATTACCATGCAGAGGCCTATCATGACTATTATCAATATTTGCTGCATTAATCTATATAAGTACAATACACCTGACAGGTCACAATAGGATCATTTCTCTCCACGGTTTGATTTTTTTTTCATTTTCAAATTGAATAATTATCTATTTCGCACCTAATGTCTTTTTGATCATTTCCATTGAGAGTTTTCTCGGAGAAAAATTCAATATAATATATAATTTTTTGCTAGACCTCTTCGCTCGCTCGTTAAAACTTGATACTCTAAAGTTGATATACGGGGAGAAATTGTTTCCGTACGTCTATATTTACAGCAAAGATGAAAACGGATAAATAAAGGACAATCCAAATGCATTATTGTTCGGTATGCTATTGTTCTCATCAAAGGCCAGCATTTTGTTATATTTTAATTTTTTGAGTAAATTTAAGCCGGGTACCCCCCCCCCACTCCCCCACCCACACACACATATACTGACAAGCTGGCTAAGTCACGGGCAATACATGTATGATAACGTTACTACCCCTTACAGTTTCACAAGTTCAGGTAATCCATGAAGCAATCCGTTGATGGTAACGAGATTGTTGTTTTCAAGAGCTCTGTATAACAAATGACGACACGAATAAAAGAGAAAAGGAATTTTGATATTTGTTTGCATTAAATTTGATCATGATCATGATAATTATGCATCATCATTATAATTTCTCAATATTTCGTTCAGCTCATCAGTTTAGTTCAGTTCATCAGTTAATCCGTTTAGCTCATCATTTTAGTTCATTTCACATCAGTTCAATCTATCAGTTAATCCGTTTAGCTCATCATTTTAGTTCATTTCACATCAGTTCAATCTATCAGTTAATCAGTTCTTCATTCATCAGTTCATATCTTAATACATCATTTTACATTAACATCATTTTATTGGGGGTAATTGAATTGAAGATGAGCATGATCATAAGAATTGAAGACAGACCACCCAATTCGTCCCCATGACGAATCATCATCATTTGGGGGAGAGGCATCAGTCTCTTGAACTTACAAGCGTTGGATTTGAAGTCCATCAAATGATCCGTTGTCTATCTTTTGTATGTGGTTGTTCTCCAGGTATCTAGATAATATAAAATTCAATCATTCTCTGTTATATACCAACCGTGTTAAGAATACAGTGGGTTTTTTTTTACTTTTTTAAATACAGGTGTGAAAAAATAACTACATAAGAATCATTCATACATAGGGGATTTCAGTTCAGTGAAATGCCTTTAAATTCATTCATTTATTCATTCATTTACAATATAACAAATGACGACACGAATACAAAAGAAAAGGAAAGGGAAACAATTGCTAAGAAGTGAGTCTCTGACACTGAAGTGCAAATGTCATAAACTTTAGAATCAGTTACTCACAACATAGTTAGTTTGAGAACAATTCAGTACCCCCATATAGATTTCGTTCCAACTACAGACACGAGGGGGTTTCAAGTGACTAGAGTTACTTCAAATATAGGTTAACGTAGTTTTCTTTCCAGTGGTCAGTTAATAGGTTTTTTTAATGAATGACATTCTCGCGCCTCTGTTGAATCATTTAAGAGGCATCAATAAAACGTATGTATTAATATTGTAGTTAACTGTTTTATATTCGTATCATATTTTGTAACTTTTCATGTATTGAATAATCTGTTCTGTTGAGTTTGTTATAGCGCTATCGAATAAACAATTGTTATTTTAATTATTATTAGTATTTTATTAATAACATTACTATTATAACTATTATTATTATTATTATTATTGTTGTTGTTATTACCATTATTATATTAGTTTTATTATCATTATTATAATTATTATTATACTAATAACATTACTATAATTACCATTAGTATTATTATTTGTATTACCATTATTATATTATTAT